ATAGAAACGAAGATATAAAACAAATGATGTCAAATTTTGTGAGATGTTTCCAAGACATCTTTTGGGCTCTACTCAGCTTCGGCGCCTTTTGCACTTTTAAGATTTGGACGCCTGCCTGCAACTCAGCAAACCTTCCCTTACTTTCACCGAAAATCTTGAATCAATTTCTTAAGTCGTTTCGGAGGAGTTTCCAGGACAAGCCGACCCTTTAAAAATCAGAAAATCGTCCATATCTCGCGACCGGAAGTGACGTTATCGACGACTAAAATTTCCGACAAGGTTTTGATGAATGTTTATCAGATCTGAAAGTTTAGTGAAAATCGGTCGAGCCATTTCCGAGAACTCGCTTGCACAAAATTGGTTAGAAAAAAAAGAATAATAATAGGGAAAAGGAAACCGAACGAAAACAATAAGGTCTTCCGTTGGAAACAGAAGACCTTAATAATAAGAAAATTGAAAAAAAAAACATAAGAATAATAGAAGGGTCTTCCACTGAAGACGGAAGACCCTAATATAAGAAAAGTGAAAAAGAAACATAAGAATAATAGAAGGGTCTTCCGCTGAAGACGGAAGACCCTAATAATAGGGAAAAAGAAACCGAAGAATAACAAGGTCTTCCGTTGGAGACGGAAGACCTTAATAAAAAGAAACAGAGTAAAAATAATATGTTCCCCAACTTCGCTTGGGGAACATAATAAGAAACAGAGTAAAAACGATATGTTCCCAAACTCCGTTTGGGGAACATAATTAACAGGATTTTAATACTTGTTTTAACTCTAGATCTTGAGAATTCAAAAACATGCATGATTGTGTCAAAATAAGATATCGTCTGTGTGTTTATAGTCTGTATTCTAACTAGTGTTCTTCAACAGATATATAATTATGTAACTACTCCTAGAACCTTGAAAATAAGCCGCAGTTTATTTTAAGTTTTGGTAAGAAAGTGGGGGCTTATTTTCAAAACCGTCTTATTTTCAAATCTTGGATTATTATCAGTACAAAAAACTTGTAAATGACAACAGCATTATAATTATCACAGCTTATTATCAATACAATAAATTGTAATTGATATATTGAGAATTACTTGTTCCACTGTTTCTAAAAACAGGATATCCAGGTTGACTCCTATAAGAGTTAAGTGCTCCAGTGTCTAATTCCCTTTTCAAAACAGTGCGCTTATAGCAATGATGCCTGATAGAGGAACTCCCACTCCAAGAAAAAGTTGGAATAGAGAATTTAAGATGCAAGAAATAGGTGGCTTATTTTCAAAATCGGCTTAATATTAAACCCGTCTTATTTTCAGGGTTCTATGGTATGTTAAATCTGTTTTTCAGATACGCAAAGGCGAAAAACAATGTTGTGTACATGATAAAATTTCAGTTTGTCAAAACTCCCTTCTCAAATATTTATCAGTTATTTAATCATACAAATACAAAATAAATGTATAAAGTATAATCAAACTTTACATCAATAACAAATCAACAAAATGCATTGTAAATCTAGGAAATATCTTAATTAGATCATAGATAAACAGATGAATAGCATCCCTTCTTTAAACAAACATGTTTTTTTTAAATCACCAGTGATAAAAACTCCAAAAAGAATAAATGGATGTAATCTTTAGTTCAATGTTCAAGATCGTAGCTATTTCCTGCGCAATACACAATATTCAATGGTAAATTGAAATTATGGATAAGGAACTGATTCAAATTATATCACACGGACAGAATGTGTCTCCATTTTTGATTTTAAAAAATATTTTTCACTCATATTGAGAAGCCTTCACATGCTGAGAGAGGACTGCAAATTTATGCCTTACCCTGGCGCTCAGGACCACTGAGCAGTGAGAGATTTTTTCCTGAAAGCACTTATTGCGACACAGGACCCATATTTATATGGTTTCGTCTGAAAGACGGGTCTCAAAGTCTTGTAATCGGATTCCAACCCGCGAGACCAACTTCTTACTCTGCAAATCTTAAGCAAAATAACCACTGGGTCACGAGTTGAACAGTACATTTTTTGTAAAAACCATGCTTAACTCAGGATTCTAGCAGCATTTTTGAAGTTTGTCAGGAGGAAAACTTTTCAACTGTACAAATCTTATATCTTGAAATATCTAGCTCATAATGATTGTTGTTCTGTGTAGCATTATTTTTGTCAAAAATAACAGAGACAAGGCCGACCGGGATACGTTTATAGCTGACTGTCTTCGAAAGAGAATATAATCGATGAAAATAAATTAACATACCTGTTATATTAACTGAACTCCACATGAATTTAAAAAGAAAATACAATTTGTATATATATATATATACATTTTTTTTATCACCATTGATAATAACTCAAAAAAGTATAAATGGAAGTAATATTTAGTTAAATGTTCAAGATCGTAGCTATTTCCTGCGCAATACACAATATTCAATGGTAAATTGAAATTATGGATAAGGAACTGATTCAAATTATATCACACGGACAGAATGTGTCTCCATTTTTGATTTTAAAAAATATTTTTCACTCATATTGAGAAGCCTTCACATGCTGAGAGAGGACTGCAAATTTATGCCTTACCCTGGCGCTCAGGACCACTGAGCAGTGAGAGATTTTTTCCTGAAAGCACTTATTGCGACACAGGACCCATATTTATATGGTTTCGTCTGAAAGACGGGTCTCAAAGTCTTGTAATCGGATTCCAACCCGCGAGACCAACTTCTTACTCTGCAAATCTTAAGCAAAATAACCACTGGGTCACGAGTTGAACAGTACATTTTTTGTAAAAACCATGCTTAACTCAGGATTCTAGCAGCATTTTTGAAGTTTGTCAGGAGGAAAACTTTTCAACTGTACAAATCTTATATCTTGAAATATCTAGCTCATAATGATTGTTGTTCTGTGTAGCATTATTTTTGTCAAAAATAACAGAGACAAGGCCGACCGGGATACGTTTATAGCTGACTGTCTTCGAAAGAGAATATAATCGATGAAAATAAATTAACATACCTGTTATATTAACTGAACTCCACATGAATTTAAAAAGAAAATACAATTTATATATATATATATATATATATATATATATATATATATATATATATATATATATATATATATATATATATATATATATATATATATATATATATATATATATATTAGGGATGTCAACGAATATTCGAATATTCGAATATTCATTCGATGAGTTGATATTCGAATATAAATTCATGATTCGAATATTCGGATTCTAAGTAAACAAACATCAAAAGAAAAAAAAAATCTGACAAAAACTGAAGTTTTATCAGAAATTGAATCAAATTTTCATCGTTGACCAATAATAAAATTTTATTCAAAACAAAATTAAAAGGCACTCCTCTTGGATTATCTTAAAGGTGTGAAGAGTGTGTCTATTAAAATAATATAAATTATTCATTCTATTCAATTAGAGGTTAAACAGTGTCCAGTACTTAGTTTGTATTGTTGAAAGGACACATTTTTGTTTATGTATACATCGTTTAAAATCATTATCAGGAAATTAATTAGCTAAAAGTAATTGCGTTTAATGTTTCTCCATTAGATAATTGTTCTGTGTGATATAAATCTGTAGGGTTATCAGTGTTCACTTTGGTAAGATTATTAATTAATCTGGAACTTATTAAAAGAATCTTTTGAATTTTTTTTAATTACATTTTGGATATAAACACTTCATATATTCTGTAAAACACTTTAAGAATATAATTAAAGTGCATTAACAAAACTCTACATTATTTTTTTCCAAAATAATGACATAAAACGTATATATTGCTTGACAAAAGAGTGAAGACATATGCATATTATAATGCAAGATATATTTATTTTATCGAATATTCGAATATATTCGAATACTACTATCGAGTATTCGAATATCAATTATTGACAATTTTGACATCCCTATATATATATATATATATATATATATATATATATATATATATATATATATATATATATATATATATATATGCTTTTAAACTCAATTTTACGTATATTTGTACAAGCCGTCTTAGTCAAATTCTCTTCACACGACTTGATAAATTCCGAAGTTACTTAAAGCTGAACACGATTCTTAAAAGGAATATGTCCGCCATTTTTGTTCCCGAGTCTCGCTACTCTGCAGACCCCTATAAATAGGGCAGAATTGGGTCACTTTTCAGTGTAATCAGTCGACACCGGTGAAGACGGACGTATGTTATACAGAACGCGGTTGCGAGAAAAATATCGTAATTCATCGTCTAATGCAGAAAAATAAAATACCAAATAAGTTTACAATTATAGTTGTATAAGTCAGTACAGGATACAAACATCACAGATAAACGTAACTGCAATAAAATATAAACAAAGGTAATGCAAGATAACCAGCACGAACACGGGTCGCCATTCCACGCCGATACCTGTGACAATAAAGCAGTCAGGTATAACGAATGCGACGAGTATACCCTAGTATTGATGTATCGTAGATAATGCTATCGAAAATGGCGAATGCCTATTTACGAGTTGTGTTCAGCTTTACTTAATGTACACATATGACGTCATCAGTGGTAGATTTTAATCAAAATGGCAGAATACAGCATAACAAAATAAGAACATTTCATTTTTGTTAATATTTACATGTTTCTATTCATTTTCTAGAGTTAAATTACATTTCTAAATACCAATATTACGAAACATTGTGTTTTAAAATTGACGTCATCTCGCCTACTATGACGTCATAATGTAAGCACTGATTTAGTCAAGGTAGGATATTTTGTATGCTATTCCCCCTGCGTTGAAAATTGATGTTTTTTGAAAAAGGTAAATGCGTTCAGAATAGTTCTGAATTATATTTATCCAATGCCTTTTCTCTACAGTAATTTCTCAATAAACATTATTAATACTGTTTGACATCAAATCATGACACTGCACTGCCAAATGTTAATGTTAGACCCTCTGTTAAACAGCTGTTTTACAACATTTATTTGTAAATGAATACTTTAACCTGCAGTTCCTCTGTACTCGGATACTGTGAGTTGGTATTTTTCATCCTCGTTTCCGATATAAAACGTGGAATATTTAGCATACGCTGTGTCCCCATTAAATCTCTGGAGATCTACTCGCAGTTCCTGGTCCTGATCTTTAGTTAATGCATGGATTGCGTCATTCCCTTTTAGTTTGTAATAATAAAAAAAGAAAATCATTGAAATTGATGTTTATGACTATTGATCAGAATATGCTTTTATCTCTCTGAATAATTAGCAGAAAAGAAATATACTCCAGTGCTTAACATTTATTTTTTTTAAATGTGTGTTATATGATAAATACTGCAAGAAGCTAAGTGTAACAGTACATTTTCATCCCTCGAAAACCATTGTTAACCGCGGGTCGTTTTTGATTGGCAATGGGTTTATTAGGGCTTATCTTTTTAATTAATGCTACCCTCAACTAGGAGCATGTAGTAGAGATTATAACAACTAATTTTTATTTCAAAGTATGTATTCTTACCAATCCAGTAGTTACTGTGTGGATCCCCGAAACCTTTTTTGTAATCTTCCCAGGTTCGATAGAAATAAGTTGATCCGTCTATTCTTTTCTGTAAAACCTACGGAAATGTTTAAATTTGTTAAAGTGTGCTAAGGTGTGTTAAGCATTTTTTAATTTTTATAGAAAATTTTCGGTAATATCTATCATAAAAATGCAACGAAGAAAGATATGGAGATAACGGACAGTATTCAATCTTGAAGTCCATAAAACAATAGAAAATAAGAGCAGAGCAAACGCCGACCTCCGAAACATCAGAGGTGGGATTAGGTGCCTTTGAGGGGTGAGCAGCCCCTGCTGACCGGTCAAATCCGCCGGGTGCTCCTTGTCATGATCAGGAAATAACGGAAAAATTCGTTGTCAATTCAGTGTATAAATAATGGATTAACAATTATGGTATGAAAAACGCCAGTCATTATTCCACTCAATGATAAATTGTATTTGCTGACATGGTCATTGTATCGACCGTAGAACTTACGAAATGATGACTTTAAACGAGACTGTTGGTATTCTTATTTCATCAACTTTCTTGTCAATAATTTGCTCTTGCGTAAAGAATCAACTGAGATATATACACTCCGTATATTTAGGTAATGAAGGTATATTGTGCATAAGTAAGGAAAGTTGACGATAGAAAAGTTAAAGTCATCAAGTTTATCATATAGCTTGGTTGTTAGATTACCATTAATGTCTTTTTCAAGTAAAATATCCAAGTATGAAACAGATGTGTAAGACTCTGTCGTGTCTTTAATCTTAAGCTCTCCTGGATATATTGTATCGACCTAGGAATGGAAATTACCATTGTTATTTGACAAAACGTCGTTGATATCTCTGAAAGTCGTGTTGAAGTTCAAAGCTTCAAATGTTTTCTTCTTTTCAATCATAAGATTTTGCATACATTTTCTTCATATGAATACAAAAATAGGTCTGTTAATAACGGAGCGCAATTGGTACCCATGGGAATTCCAATAGATTGTATGAAGACCTGGTCACCAAAGACCACATAGGTATTGTTAATCAGAAACTCAAGCATCTTCTTGATGTCAACTTCAGAGTACTTGTTTTTGCAAACAGAATCTGTCTTAACAAAATAATTTTGCAAATGACCAGTGACCAGGTAAGTAAATTAACGAGTTTCATTTTTATTTTATTTTACTTTTATTGAAGAAGCAGCTGTCAATGATATCAAAAAGCCTGGATTTTAATTTGTCATGGGGAATTGTTGTGTATAAAGTTGAAAAGTCGTAAGTTTTTAAGCTGTTGATTTTTGTAAAAATGTGATTTCAAATTGTCCAAAAGTTCTTAAGAATTTTTTAGTATTCACATCTGATTCACACCACTTCTGAAATATATAGTTGCACATTACTCTTGAAGTTTTCCCTCACTACTGTCAATATCTTAGTGAGGAGTAAAGAAAGAGGTTTGGGTGAACATATACTGGAACCCGCAATGTAACTTTGTAAGGATTCTTATGAAGTTTCAGACTCCAATATATATATATATATATATAAGGTAGTTTAATTCATTTTGGCTCTATTCAAAATTGACACATTATTTTGAAGAATTTCTTCCTTGGAAAGGGAAGTATGAGTATAAGTAGGATTACCACTTGTAGAATTTAATCCAAGTTCTTCTAGATAATATCATATCTTTATATAATGAGCCTTACAAACGAAGACAATATTGTTAGCTGCTTTTTCGGCAGGAAGCAGTACGTTCTGATCATGTAATCTATCCAATTATTTTGAAACGTGACTTTAACATGGATCTGATACATTTAATCCATTCTGACAAGATGTCAACGTCTTTTTCATATCTGGCCCTTCGTCTGGCGTAATTTTCAAAAAAATCCATGATATTTATGTTAATCCGACGCCAGTTGAAAGTTTGGGTTCCCTATATTTAGGACCTTTTAAAATAAGTGATCTAAGGTCCTCATTATTAATTATATTTATGTCACCTGTAATAACGTGTCCAGCAGGACTATAAATATAGGGTGAAGAAATGAATGCATTTCAATTCTTCTACATTACAAAATAAGAGGTCCATATGCCTTATAGGTCACCTCAGCATCATACAACAACTTTGAAATGACTGAATTCGGTTCATGTTTTAAGCTAGATGATATGGCATTCACAATTTTTTGAAGGAGGCCCCATTGCTAATCATAATTATACAGCTCAACGCACTTTGATTTAAACAATATTTATTCTGTAAAATGCTCAACGCACTTTTTAAGCTTACATGGTTTTTCGCACAAATTAAGGTCACATTTTTCTTGCAATAAAACTAAAAATAATCAAGTTTCAGTTCGATACATTAACGTTACATTATCAAATATTTCATGTTAAAGGTGTACATTCTCTAAAATCATTATTTTAATTCTAAAACTTGATATTTTAAATGGGAATTTGTTTATAAACTGTATGATGTTACATGTGTATGATTCTGCTATAGTATATTAATAGGTATTTACAATTAATTAATCGAGCTTTCCTTGATGCTTTTTAGTTGAACTGTTTAAATTGACTTTTTACAAATAAGAGTTTTTCAGTACTTTGCACATTTTCCATACTTGTCTTGGTTTTGTCGAAATGCAGCGGCGAAAAAAGACAAAACTGCATAAAGAAATCACATCAAAGCATTGTTTATTTCCACACAGTAAATTGTTGCATTTGAAAAGAAAGTTCTTTTATATTTTTGGTCGAAAACTTGAAATTTTGTGTTGGAAGGTATCTTTCATGATGTTAGATTTCAGAAAGTTGCCTAGAAAATATCCCTCTTTTTAACATGGAAAGCAGTCAAACAGATAAGAAATACTTCTATTATCTTGCACTTTAGTGTCATATTAATGGACAAAGACACAGAAGTTACATGAACTGCATTGTTTCTGTATTAAGGCAAGGCAAAGGTATGTTTTTTTAATTAAGCGGACACAAAGACGGTTGCATTTGACGAGAAATCATTTTAAAAAAACAATTAGGAACTGCAATGGTCTATAATCCGAGAGCATATAAGAATCCAACCAATTATTAGGTGTGAATTATGTTAAAAGTTAAAAGTAATGGAATAAGACCAAAATTAAGTTTAAAATCACTTTTAAAATATATTTTATCTTCACGTTACCCAATTTTGTATTATAACAATGTGACCATAATTTGTGCGAAAAATTATGTGAGTTTAAAAAGTGCGTACAATTAGCAATTGCTTAGTTTGGTTACTTAATATCCATATATAGGAAGGGTAGGGGGACAAAAACTTCATTTCAACTAATCAGTAATATTCAACAATAAAAAAATTGTGCACCTACCACATATGAACCCCTGACCCAAGGTCCACACATTGCACAATTTTTGAAAAGGCACCCTTGCTTATCAAAAAAGTTTTCAAACAAATCATTTCCAGAATGTAAGTAGATCCCCCCTCTATAGTACCCCTGACCCAGGGGCCTTGGAGTTCTGGAAGAAGGGCCCTTGCCCATCATAACTATATAGGTAGTTCATCTGCATACTACCTAGGAGCAGAGAAGATTTTTTAATACCCAGAATCAGGAAGATGATTTCCAAAGAACTAATGCATTTTCACTATATAATCAATGTAGCCCAGCCCTTACACCAGAACCACTGACACTGGGGCGAAAAAAAATCACAATTTCTGAAAGAGGCACTCTTGCACAGCATAACTATGTACTTAGTTACATGTACACGTAGTTTATTTAATACCCAGAAGCAGTGAAGAAGATTTCCAAAGAATTAATGCATTTCACTATATAATCAATGTAGCCCCGCTCTAACACCAGAACCCCCCAACCCTGGGGCCAAAAAATTCACAATTTTGGAAGAGACACTCTTGCTTATCATAACTAATTACATGTATTTAGTAAATTTATTTAATACTAAGAAAGAAAGATATGGAGATAACGAGCAGTATTCAATCTGAAAGTCCATTAAACAAAAAAAAAAAAATAGGAGCAGAGCAAACCGGACCTCCGAAATATCATAGATGGGATCAGGTGCCATGGAAAAGTGAACATCCCCTGCTGACCGGTCACAAATTTCATTAATATCAATTTCAGCTTTGGGGGGTTGTGGATTTGTTTTCTGATTATCAGATTCTAATGCAGTCCTACTATCCGTGGATTTTTTTTTTTGCCTAAACTATATGCTAGTAGAATTAAATACACTAAGCTGGCCAGATTTAGTACATCTGAAATTAAGTTAAAAGCAGGCGACACATGCGTGAAAAATGTCCTAGATCTAATGTCTTGAATTCGTATCTCATAAAAAACGAGAATGCAAATAACTTGATGAGTTTGATGTTGTTTGCTAGAGATTTTTGTATTGTTTTTTATTATTATTATTATTTCTTTTTTGAATTAATATTTGGACTTAAATCTTATTAATTTAAAAATTTAAAAAAAGGAATGGCAAAAAACCTAAGAGTTACCTTAGAAATAAAGTTTATATCCCAGAACGTAAAAAAAAAACCATGCATTTATTAAAAACCTATTTCAATTTTTTGAGCACATACTTGGGCTGATTTGCATTGTGTTGAATTTATAATTTAAAAATACTTTTTTTTAACTACTCTTTCTCTCCTCCGAATGTGATATTTATAAGTAGAAACAGCATTTATGAGTAGTTTTAAACAGCGTAAAAGTAAAAAACAACAACAACCCAAACAATTTCTCATTTTAAAAAACGTTCCTATTTTTAATACTCTTTTATAGGACTGAACGTTCTTTTTGAGAATTTTTTCGATGTGTAAACGCTTGACATTTTACTCACAAACCAAATAAAAGTGCGAATAAAATTGTTTTAATGAAAAAAAGCCTTTATTACCAACAAAGCATTTTCACCAACAAATTACGACAACATATATTTTCATACGACAACATAAGACAACATACGACAACATATATTGTCGGCCATATTGTTTACATTAGATATTAGTTCAGGCTTTCTATTTTTATCGAAATGTAGAAATTTGTGCCTGTGGCTTATAACCACTTGATTATCGAATATGCTTATGAGATTGGAATTATTACTTCATGAAATTTTC